ATCGACGTTGCCTCATATTTAACTCTTTCTGATCAAACAGATACTTTAAACTTTTGTGGTCACTGTAGACAATAAAATCGGCCCCTTATAGAAAGTGTCGCCAGATTTTCAATGCGAACACTACGGCTGCCAACTCAAGATCATGTGTCGGATAATTCTCCTCATGCGGTTTCAACTGCCGAGAAGCATAAGCGACCACCTGACGGAACTGCATTAACACACAGCCTAACCCAAACTTAGAAGCATCACAATACACCACAAACTTGTAGGATCCGGCAATATCAATACCGGAGCTGTAGTCAACTTCCTTTTTAACTCTTGAAAGCTCACTTCACATTCTTGGGTCCACACAAATGGGTTCCATTTACGGGTTAACCGTGTCAAAGGTAAAACCATCCGTGAGAATCCCTCAATAAAACGCCTATAATATCCACCCAAACCAAGAAAACTCCTGATCTCTGTAACATTTTTAGGACGTTCCCATTCTACCACTGCTTCAATCTTGCTCGGGTCCACTGCCACTCCTTCAGATGAGATGACATGACCAAGAAATTGTATCTCAGAAAGCCAGAATTCACATTTTGACGGTTTAGCATACAACTGATGCTCTCTCAGAATCTGCAAAACTACCTTTAGATGCTCAGAATGCTCTTCTTTACTCTTTGAATATATCAGTATGTCATCTATAAAGACCACCACAAACTGATCCAGATAGGCTTTAAAGATCCGATTCATATAACCCATGAAAACGGCTGGTGCATTTGTAAGCCCAAAAGGAATAACCAGATACTCATAGTGCCCATAACGGGACCTGAAAGCTGTCTTCGAAACGTCATCCGGCTTTACCCGGATCTGATGATACCCGGACCGGAGATCAATTTTAGAAAATACAGTCGCACCCCGCAACTGATCCAACAAATCATCTATCCGCGGCAAAGGATACTTATTCTTAACAGTAACCTTGTTCAACTGCCGGTAGTCTGTACATAATCTCATAGACCCATCCTTCTTCTTAACAAAGATCACCGGGGCTCCCCAAGGAGACACACTCGGCCTAATAAAATTTTTACTGGATAAGTCTTCAATCTGCTTCTTCAATTCAGATAATTCCAGAGGTGACATCCGGTATGGGGCAAGAGAGATAGGTCCCACACCAGGCAATAAGTCAATTGCAAATTCAATTTCCCTCTCTGGAGGAAAATGCGGAATTTCATCCGGAAAGACATCCTCAAATTCAGAAACAATCGGAATACCAGAAATGGGCTCCTTAATGGCGCCTACCAGACCTCCTACCATAATAAACCCAGAATCTCCTTCTTTTAAGGCTTTTATAACCCGAAGTACAGATAAGTAAGGAGACTTCCCTTCTTCATCATGAGATGAAACAGAAATGGTTTTACTGCAGCAGTCAATCTTCACACAGTATTTAGACAACCAGTCCATTCCCAAAATCAGATTTACAGATGCAAGATGCAAAACAATAAAATCGGCAGAATACTCCTTGCCTTCATACTTGAATTTCACATCTTCACAAATATACTTCTCATTAAAAACACTCCCCACAACCGTAACAATACGCATAGGAGTTTTCATTATTGTCAAAGGCAGACAAAATGCGTCGGCTACATAATCAGCAATAAAAGAATGTGTGGCACCAGAATCAAATAATACACTAAGCAGTTCATCTTTAATAGAAATCATACCTCGCACCAAAGTAGAGGATTTCTCAGCCTCTGGCTGAGTCACTGCATACACTCGGGCAGTAGGAGGTGGGGGAGGTAGAGATGGCTCCTCAATCATCTTAGGGGCCGAGGTAGCCTGAATTGCAGAAACCTGTCCCCCACTAAAAGGGCAGTCTTTAATAAAATGCCCGGGTTGACCACACTTATAATAAAGACCTTTTTCTTTCCTGCAGACCCTTGCATGGGCTCTTCCACAGATAGCACATTGAGGAACAGATTTAAAATTCCCCTGCTTTGAATTCCCTATCTTCTTGAACTTACCATCAGACTGCTTCACCTGCAAACCTTTTCCCTTAGAATTTCCAGTATTACTTTTAGGACCAGAATTAGAAGCTGCTTGGTCCTTGTGCTTCCTTCTGTAATATTCTTGAATATTTTTACACTTTTTAACAAGTGCAACAAAAGTATCAAATGAGTCACCTGCAAGTTTTTCAGAGATGTTATCATGTAATCCTCTATGAAATTTAAAAATCAAGTCATCCTCTGTAGGTGGAGCTCTCTGGAAATGAGAGTATTTGGCCAGCTTATTGAACTTATTCAAGTATTCATCAATAGACATCTGACCCTGCTTTAGTTCTTCAAATTCACCCTTCTTCCTTATCTGGGCTTCAGCCGGAAAGTATTTCAGCAAGAATTGCCTTTCAAATAAAGGCCAGGTAATAGTATAACCCTGACATTCCAAGGGCAGACGGGTATTTCTCCACCAATCAGCTGCATCATTCTGCAACATATAAGAAGCATACAACAATTTCTGCTGATCATCACACTCCATGACAGTAAAAATGCGATCCAATTCTTCTAACCACTGAATTGCAGCAATAGGATCAATGCCTCCTTTATAATTTGGTGGTGCATGTTTTCGGAAGGCATTAAGCATTCTTTCTCTTTGCTCTCTATTAGTGGCTGGCTGTGCCACACCACCCCTGTGACTAGATTCTTCATTCATATCATTATTTCCTTCACCCTCCACAACAATGGGATTATGAGGAAGAGGAACAAGCTGTTGTGGTTGTGGCTCAGGCTGTGGCTGTGGTTGTGGCTGTTGCAAAGGCTGTGGCTGTCGACCTTGCCCACCCGCCCTCACTTCAACCAAGAGTAATCTCATCATTTCAATATTTGCCATTCTGCTTGCTGCCATCATTTCTTGATTGGCCAACCTATTAGCCTCTAACAGATCTTGATTTGCTTTCATCATCACTTCCAGCTCTCGCTGCCTAGCTGCAGCCATATTTTGCTGCATTTCAGTTAAGGCCGTTATCATTGGATCTGGCTGTAAAGAACCACCTCGCTGAGTTACACGTGGCCTAGCCAAATCAGCTATAGTTGGATTTGTCGGGTCAATAGGAGGATCCAGAGTCCTTCTTGGGCGAACCATAATTCTGCATATTTCACACAAAGGAATGAGTTAGCTACGCTCACACTCAGTGATCAGACTTGCATATCATAGTACTCCAAGGAAAACACTCTAGAACATAATAACCTGAACAATTTATGCAATATTTCACAGGCTCTCCTAGAGAAACTGCTCTGATACCATAAATATAACATCCCCGTCTCGAGCTGGTTCAATTAACATACATATGATATAAACAGATACAGCGGAAGACTTATCTTACGGAAATACGGGCTAACTTTTTCTTTTTCTTCTTAACTTCATATAAAGCATAACCAAAAATCGGACAGAGTAACCTCTGTAAATCGGACAACTGGGGATTCTCCAATCCCACTCCCAAGAGTTCCTGATAGACAGTTTCAATAATATTCATATTCAGAAGTACCAGTCATGCAATATACTCAGATACCCATCCATGGGCGCATGCAGAAATTGGTTCCGTGCCACTAATCTAACAGCATGCAGTCCAATACAGAAACATAACTGAATACTACATAGTCATATCAACATGCCTGAATACAAAAGGTACATGCATCAACTGAATGACATGTACAAGACATATACATGCCATATACAAAATACAGGATCTAACATAATGATCCATCACTACGGAAATACGAAATACATAGGTACACTCCAAAAAGATTAGTAGCCTACAGCTACTCCAAAATACTGATCCGTCAAACGTCTCAGCCCCGTGTCGTGTCCCTGCCTAACGAAGGCTCACCGGAAGTCTGTGCACCTGAAGATGTTGCCCCAACGAGGGGTAAGATTTTAAATCTCAATAAGCTCCAGGTTTATAGAGAATTCTCCATACCCCTGGCTCACTCCTGCATGAAAGTCAGATACAGAGTATACCAGTACAACATATAACAGATATCATAACAGAACAGAACATATAACCATATCATAACAGAGGTGTGCGCTGTAATTCCCAAGGGATGACCCCAAGCGGAATTCAAAGCACGTGTTCCCAAGGGATGACCCCAAGCGGAACCAGAGTATCTCAGAGGTGTACATTGTCAATCTCAGGAAAACCCCAAGAAGACATCAGTGTACCAGAAGTCAATATAGAACTCATATCATAACAGTTATATCATATCGTCTCATATCAAATCATATCATATCATATCAAATCATATCATCAAATCACTCTATATGAATGCACCTATACAGAGTACCAACAACAATCATCTAGTCCAACCACAGTTCACTAACCATGGTGGAGCACTCAAGTAGGAAAAGACTCCTTAAACATAGAGCTTACCTCTTGAAGCTTTACCAATACGCTTACTTGTGGAACAAGTTACTTTTATCGCTTCAAGAGATTTCCGATCCTTCTCAATCCCTAGGCACACCTAGAGAATAATTTACAATGCATCAATAAAATGATACTATGCCATTATTATTTCATAAGCATACATTTTATCGCTTATTTTCCTTTCTTTATATTTTTGCCAATTCTATGCCAATACACAAGTCTAGACCTCTATACACCCGTTGGCGTTCTTTAATTTAATCAAGCATTTACTTAAGAATTTTCCACATAAATCATGCTATTTTTCTTTAAAAGTCGCGGGCATACTCTTAGGGACTCAAGGTATTTTTCAACCATTTGTCAAAGCATTTCACTTCTTAGCTCATCCATTAGTATATTAAAATGCAACACATTTTATTAGAATAAAATGTAACCAATATATATATACCCCTAACCATCCTATAGTTCGAAACATAGAGCAAGTATTTGTAGGATTTTTTTTCAACTTTGGCATTTCCACCAATTCATCCATTTACACTACATTCCAACATATTTTACCTTTTCAAACATACAATAAAATTTTGCATGATGAACCCTACATAACCCATGAAGGCCGAAACCTAGGGGAAAGGTGCACTAGGGCCTTTCAATTTTTTTATCACAAATTAATGCTTACTAAACACTATCCTTCCTAACCAACAACAATCCATCATAATTTTCACCTTCTAACATCAAATATTTCCCACTCAAAACATGCTCCAAATTTTCAAAACATAGATCACAAAATAATACCATAGAAATAGAGGTTTCTTACCTCTAATCACTTGTACAAAGCCTAGAGAATAACCTCCAAGCAAAGCTCCATCAAAAACCCACTTTTTCTCCTCCTATGAATAGTAATCCGAAAATAAGAGGAGGAATAACTCTTCACACACTCAACTATAGCTCAAATGGATAGATGCAATGGATTCCTTGAGTGGTTTCTAATCAATTTCAAGTGGTGGGTCATAAGATTTGGTTGAGAATTCAAGAAGAAATCAACAAAACAAGCAAAACCCTAACCCCCCCCCCTTTTTCCATGGCTGAAGCTCGGCCCTTCAAGAGAGAGAAGAAGAAATTTTTGCAATGAATAGTGATTCATTTAAGTGGCCAAGCTATTTAGGCACATGTGGCCCTTTTGTCGGATTTTTTCTATCGCGTATTTCACTTAAATTTACCCGAAACTTAACTTAAAGCTACACATATATTTTTATTTTTCTAAAGTTATTTACATTAATTTTTATTTCCTAAGGAACAATATTCATAATTCGCAGTACCGTTTCTGCACCGTTTTTGACGAAAAGCACTGTGAACCACTAACTGTACTTTATTTATTTTTGAAATTTAACACTTATAAACTTATCATTTTCTTGGGCCTATTTTGACTTGTATGGCATATATTGGACTTTCTTACTCTTATTCTATCATTTATTTATTTTCTGGACTCTATCGGTTGCTCAAACAGCAGTACTAAATACCCGGTAGAAACACTATTCACGAGATTTTTACGGAAAGTGCCAGACTATACAATTTTTCATTCTGAACTCATATTTGTCGTCAGAATTGTCAAATTATGTCTCTAATTTTTTTTTGCTTATTTAAGCTCTACCGACTAATTCACAATACTGCGAATTCTCCGACAGAACGCACTGCTCATAACATAGTCATGATTTCAGTCAAAATACTCGTAATTACGCACTAAATCTAATTATGGCATTTAAATCCTTAAATTAAATCTCTAATTAAGATTTACCATTTTGGGTCATTATAAACATCATATTCTTATTTTATTTAACCATACTTTACTAATTATATACTTCTTTTATAGTTCTCATCTCCTGCTATGTTATAGATCTCTTCGTTATTTTCGCTTGGGTTCAAACCGCACTCAAATCGGAGCACCGTATTTACTAAACTAAGTTTTTGTTGATTTTTCAGGTAGCGCGTTTTAGCGCCCAACTGGGCGTTAAAACGCCCAGAGGCAGTGAATTTGGCCTTCTCCAGGTCTTCAGCGCGTTTTAGCGCTCGACTTTAGCGTTTTAGCGCTCACTTGTGCATTAAAACACCCAAGGGCAGTGAATTTTTCTCCATTTCACGAACATAGAGCGTTTTAGCGCCCTTATCAGCGCTAAAACGCTCTTCAACTGGGCAACACATGTCTTCCCCTGTTTTTACATAACTTCATGAGGAAATTCGTCCCTCTTTCACCATTCTCTTAACACCTAATAGACTAGGAATGACCAACAATATCCAACATATATTGTGGCTCTTACATCCCATCATTTATCTTTAGTCCTTTAAATAATCCTTGCACCAATCTATAATTATAACAACATAATATCACATTACACCATATGGCCTCAAAATACACAAACATATAATGATGTAAATAACACATACGTCTAACAATCCTAGATGATATACAATCCCAAAATGACAAGCTATCACGTGCCATCTACTCAGGCCTCTTGCCTCGTCCCGCATCATCCATGCTAGTACCTGAAATAGCATTCCCCAATCGGGGTGAGATAAACTCAATAAACCCAGGGTTTTTGGAGAGTTTCTCCAACCCCAGAGTTCACTTCCTGCATGAAGGGTTAGTGTACACATGGCATGAACTACATCATATATCCAGAGACAATAACAGTAATGATTTAATTACAGCATACTCGTGCATTCAAATGGCCATAGAATTAAACAATCAAATCATCACGCACGCTTCAGTTGCATCTTAGTCCTTTCCACTAAGCAAACAACCTAGCCCCTAGTGCTTGTCTATTGGCCCTTTCTCCAATGACACAACAATACTATATGAATGCAAACATACCATAATACTAATATTACCATTCAATCATCCATTCATTAATCATTACTTCCATAAAAGTAATGGTGGAACAACAAGAAGGATTAACCGCCAAGATCCAAAGGTTTACCTCTTGATGTTTTCTCTCCTTTGCAAGCTTTCTTCTAGCTCACTTATCTACACCAACCTTTCTTGGTATGTCCACTTGGCAATTCCTTCCAATCACCAATACACCATATTCAAGAGTGTGAAATCAATCAACATACATCAATAAATACCTCTATATTTATCAATCATACAATCAAATCCACATCACAATTAAGGCATGAACTTACCAATCCAAATGTAGCTACTCAAGCTCTATGGCTCCCTCCAATCGTTGGTCACTCAAGGATGGTCCAATTGCCTCAATCCTAGCCATCACATGGACACAATCAATATCCAACCAAACCAAGCATAGATTCTTGCAATTTTCATAGTATAATCAAATGACTATCTAACTTCACTTCTACCGTTTATTTATCATTCCTAACAACTTTTACAAAGAAATTTAATTTCAATCTCACTCTGATATATCCCACTATTCATACATTTCTTAAAATAAAACCCTAAACATACACCTCCTTTAAATTAACCAAAAAGAATGGAAAACTTGCTATAACCCAACCACAATGGTTCAAGGTGAGGGTTCCAAACCACAAGAATGTAAGACTCCACCTCAAGATCCACCAATACCAAATTTTTGCCCTCTTTCACAAGCAATATCTCCCTCCACAATGGTTTTCACTCAAAACTAAGTTAGGGTTACGAAAGAGGGGGAGATTTGAAATGGTTTTGGCTTTGGAATCAATGAAAATGGTTAAGAAATGAGTGAGTTGTGGTTCAAGGGCATTTGAAGAGTTTCTCTCCTCTCCCTCTCTATGGTTGCCATCGAAGAAGAAGAAAGAAAATGAGAGGAGTGTTGTGGTTTCTTTACACTTAACATAATTAAGTTATCTTAACTGGGTACGAGCTCATCTATCTAGTTAACTCCGTTCACTTCCAAACTTTATCCAAAGGTCTGTAATATTTTTCTAGGAATATTTTTACTTTTACTTTCATATTTTGGGTACTTTTGCCTACATCCATTTTTACCTATTAATTCTCACTAACTGCACTTTTTACCTCAAAAGTGACCTTAATTCATTTAATTAGGTAATTTACCTAATTCAACCCAATAATGTGTGATTAATGATTTAATCACATGCAATTTCCTAAATACTTGGATTTGAGATATTATATATGAGTTCGCTTTTTCTACAGTCAATGTAGATAACTTATCTACATTGAGCCCAAAACGACGTCGTTTTGAGGCGAAAATCAAGGTATTTTTATAATTATAATTTGTTTTAGGATTATAATAGTCTTTTTAATTATAATTTTTAATTTTACAACCCAAAACGACGTCGTTTTTAGAGTGAATGTAGATGACTTATTTATATTCACTGTGAAAAGATTAAAACTTATATATATGGGGAAATGATATCTTCTTTTTAGGCAGAAACATTTCTGCCACTGAAAGAAAATGAGAGAGAGAAACCCATAAAATGATGAACCTCGATCATCTTTTTCTTGGGTGGTAGATTAATATTTTCTACTTCCAAGGCATAAATTATATTCCCTATATATACTTATATAGAAAAATATGAACATAATATTATAGGAAGCAACATAGGTAATGTTGTAAACTCAAAAAAATATGAGACCCACTTTGTTTAGGAGAGAGAATTTTTTTTTGAAATAAGCTCCATATTTTTTCGAGTCTACAACATAATCGCTATAACATTATATTCATATTTTCTATATATATATATATATATATATATATATATATATATATATGTATATGTATATATAGATTGATAGAGAGAGAGAAACTATTCTTATGTCACATGAAGTAAGTTTTTTTTCTACACACCATTCGATAACCGTGCAATATTTTTCTTTTCTTTCTTTTTTATTTTTTAGGTAGTGGGTCCCACCACTATGTGTCTACAACATAAGATTTTTTCTCTCGTACAACATAAAACTAGATAAGCCCATATATATATATATATATATATATATATATATATATATATATATATATATATATATATATGAGGTAGGATCCTTCGACACCGGTGTCAAATTTCAATTTTGACACCTCACCTGAGAGCCGTTAGATAAAAAAAAATCAAGGACTCTGATTTGCAAGCATGTGACACCATTATTTTTTTTTATCTAACAGCTCTCAAATAAGGTGTCAAATTTCAAATTTGATACCGGTGTCAAAAGATCCTGCCTCTATATATATATTATTTCATGACCTTAATTGTTCCTTTAAGACGTGTCAAGTCTATCGGGTATCTCACGACCTGGTGGAGGAAACTACGTACACTTTATTTGAGAGTAAGAATTAAAAATTGTTATACATTTATCCAGGAGGCTTTCGGTTTTGCCACACCATTATATATTCTATAATCTCTGAAAAAGAAAAAGCACAAGATAACCTTGCTTGACTTGTGTGAATAAGAAATCTAGTTTACTCAAACTGTCAAGTGCTATAACGGATTCCCAATTCTTATTTCTTTTCTGAAATTTACCTAAAGTTGCTCCAAGCAGCTTCTTGCAGTCCTATTGAGATAAATGCACCGACTGAACCCGCCCAAATTCAAAGATAAGCATCAAACTTTATGCTATAAGTGCCATATACCTATATATATATATATATATATATATATATATAGGTTTTATTAATCTCATATTAAGGTAGATAGTTATCTCATGTCATAGAGACAAACTAGTGAGCTCCACCACCTGAAAAAAGGGTGGCATAATTATCGAATGGTGTGTAGGAGAAAAAACTTATCTCATGTGACATGAGAATAGTTTTTCCCTATATATATATGGTAAAATCATTTTTGCAGCCGCTTTACATACATCAACGACATGTGTATATGAGTTTTATTTTTCTCATGTTACATGAGACAATTTGTCGCATGCAACACACAAAAAGTGAGTGAGACCCATTTTTTTTTATTTTCTCTCTTTTTTTAGTGGGTCCCACTTACTTTTTTGTGTGTTGCATGAGATAATTTGTCTCAAACAAGATGAAAAAAATAAAAATACATATATAAATATATATATATATATATATATATATATATATATATATATATATATATAACTTTGAGAGAAGTTATCTCATAATTCCGTACGGGATAGGGAATTAATATATAGGTATATACCCTATTGAGTCATAGAATTACTAGACTATATAGAGGGTTCATACATCTAAATCACATCAAATCTACATAATATCACAGATGAAGAGTTGGATATAGATTCCAGATGCTAGGATATGAAATTTTAATAAAATTACCAGGGATTTGATTCAGTTGGAATCTCAAAAAATTGATGTGTATTTCCTTTTTACGAAACCTGAAATAAAGGGTTATTGCCTTAATGGAAAATCAAGTAATTAGGGCAATAACCCTATAATGAAGTAATTATCTGGTTCTCTTCCCTTATTACCTCCAAGGAAAAGGGTATAAGAAGATACGAACATTAAAAGATAAGGTTTTATAAACTGGAGTGTCATTCTTGGATTGATCATTTAGAAAATTATCTTCCCTTATTTATACTGATTTATTCCTTCCAAGTAAAGAACTGTCACTTGTTTCCTTTTTCTAATTAATACCATACAAGTACCAGTTTACAACTGTATGTATTAGTGGCAACTGCACAATGTGATATTTTGTACAAAAGAATCAAGTGCAACTATTCTTGTCTTAGTGAAGAAATCTTTTGGTGCTTTTGTGGATGCTTGTCACATCTTTTCAATGATTCATCTCCAGGGAAAATTCCTAAGAATTAGGTCAAAGTAGTCCTTCACATAGTGATATTCCTCTGACAAAGCTTTTTATTTTTATTTTTAGCCTTTTCCTACCATAGTTCATTTTAATTATTCTTTCTTATTTTCGGTTGGATGCTATCACCATAACATACCTTGCAGGTCATGGCCTCTCCAAACACTGTAGCTTTGAGTGAGATCCTGAGAGAAGAAGAGGGCTTGATTGTTAATATTCATAATAATAAAGGAGAAGTAGGTATTTTCAAAAAGGCTAAGGACAATAGCTAGGCCCTCTTAGGAAAGGAATCAAGCAATATTCCCTCTTCCAACTTCTTATTTAAAACCTTCAATCCACTCCTTATTGAAGCCAAGAAGAAACTCAGTGTGCTAATAGACAACAATGTCTAACATACACACTGCAACAAAGAGCATGACAATGTTGTCAAGTTATTTCCATTCCCTCTCCCAAACACCTCACAGGCTTAGAAGAAGAATGCTAGCTACTTGGACCCCAGATCAGGAATTCAACCAAGTGAGACAAAGGTCTGGGGCAGACATGAAAAGGAAGCTCAATTGGTATGATCTGGTAGCACTTGGAGTTGGAGGAATGCTTGGTGTTGGAGTGTTTGTCACAACTGGTCCTGTAGCCCTTCATCACTCTGGTCCTTCAGTCTTCATATCCTATATCATAGCAGGAATATCAGCCCTTCTTTCCTCTTTGTGTTACACTGAATTTGCTGTTCAAGTCCCAGTTGCTGGAGGAGCTTTCTGTTATTTAAGATTAACCTTTGGTACATAACCTTTTCTTCCATTATTTGGGGTTTTTTTTGGTTATTCTATTCCACCCCTTTTGAATTCTACTTAGTTCATATGTTAAAAAACTTGTTATGTGTTATGTAGGAGAATTCTTGGGATATTTTGCTGGGGCAAATATATTAATGGAATATGTGTTCTCAAACGCTGCCGTAGCAAGGAGCTTTACAGAGTATTTGAGCTTTGCGTTTGGACAAAATGATCCAAATGTGTGGAGAGTGGAAGTCCATGGATTGCCAAAGGATTATAACATGTTGGATTTTCCAGCTGTGGCTCTCATTCTTCTTCTCACTCTGTGCTTGTGTCATAGGTTTGATCTTTTTGTTACTTCCCTTTCTTTCTTTTTTTCCTTCTGAAGGGAATATGTGGTTTTGCTATGCCATGTTATCTGCTTATTATCAGCTTAGTGATCCCTTTTTCCATTGGACAAACATTTTAGTGTATTATCCTGTCTTGTGACAACCAACAAACTACTTTTGTATCTATTTTGGTGTGTTATGTGTTTTTTCTTTTTTTCTTTTTTTAATGGAACACTGAACCATTATATACAATATTTTGAAAATGAATGTTGTATTCTGTCTTTTTTTTTATCTTTCTTATTTTTTGGTTGATGGCAGTACAAAGGAAAGCTCACTATTGAACCTCATTATGTCAGTCTTCCATGTGATTTTCTTTGGATTCATCATAGTTGCTGGTTATTGCAATGGAAGTGCCAAAAACTTGGTTAGTCCAAAAGGACTAGCTCCTTTCGGTGTTAGAGGTGTACTTGATGGAGCAGCAATAGTGTACTTCAGTTATATAGGCTATGATTCAGCTTCAACCATGGCCGAGGAGGTTAAAGATCCTTTTAAGAGCCTACCCATTGGAATTGTGGGTTCAGTTCTTATAACAACTTTGCTTTATTGCCTAATGGCTGTGTCTTTGTGCATGATGGTTCCTTACAACAAGGTCAGTGGTATATCAAACAATTAGTATTTTACTTGTAGGCTTGAATTGGATCTTAACTTCATGCATAGTATACAATATAATATATAGTTACTATTCCTATGATTTTAATTAGATAACAGAGAAAGCATCATATTCAATAGCTTTCCTCAAAATTGGTTGGAGTTGGGCTAGCAATCTTGTTGGTGCAGGTGCATGTTTGGGTATAGTGGCTTCTCTCTTGGTTGCAATGTTAGGCCAAGCCAGGTACCTTTGTGTTATAGGAAGGGCAAGGTTGGTTCCATCTTGGTTAGCCAAAGTGCATCCTTCAACTGGCACCCCATTGAATGCCACAGTTTTTTTGGGTAAGCAAATTATTAATAATGTCTTAATTAACAAAATAAAGTAAGCTCAAGCCATTATGTCAGGTTAAGCCATTTGAACATTTGTCTTTTTTCTTTTGAAATATCTTGACATTCTAAAATGCTTTTTTTTCATATAAATTGTTTCTTTAATTGTACTCACACTCACACCACATGCATCTCAGTGATACAGAAAATGACTCGGTATTCTGCAACAAAATATGTTGTAATTTGTGTTAACAATATTTGTGACCTTTCTTTAACGACTCATCACATTTAAATTTTCGGTTCATCCAAATCGCTCCGTATTCTATGAACTTTTTTATTAACGTAATTACTCAAATGACTTTTCACATATATTAGTAATATGTTCTTTATAACTCAATATCTTGGACTTTTCTTATATATGCTTCACTTATATATTCACACTCCATTTTCCTAATTTATTTCTCTCTCATTAACAATTAACTTTGAGCGTTTTTTTATTACATCAAAATTATTAATTTGAGATTTTATTAATAAAATATTATCTTACTCTACCCTACATTGCTGTAGAAAAAATGAAACACTAATGTTTATGTATTCCGCTTTCAACAACTTTAGTCTGTAGTAGCTTATTGACTGGTACTATATGTTTATCAATTTGCATTGATTTATTTTGTTGATAATACTAATAATAATAATAACATTAAAGAGTATTTAAAATAAATTATAATTATGTACACAACGAGAAATTAAAAAGTACTTAATTAAATTAGAAATATTTAATTTTTTTTTTATATTTATCTTAAAAAATCTTTAAATTGGTAATTAATAGTGACAATTTTAGAATTCCGAGACATATGATATACAATTTTACATTATATAAATTTGATATATAGATTGGATTAATTTAAATTTTAACTTAAGAAAAAATCTTGTAAAATTTTATATCTCTTGAGGAGAAATTTTTTGAATACTAGGGAAATGTAATTACTAGGGAAATGGTTGGAAAATGTGTTTGGTAGGAAAATGTAAAAAAAGTTGTTTGATTGACCGAAATATTACCAGGAAAATTTATTTAAATTTGCAAAATCTATGTTCGGGAGAAACTTCGCACCTGTTTTTTCACTTCCACAGTTATCTCAAAATACCACATCTCAAGTGGTATTCTGTAACAATGAATTTCATCCAAAAATCAACACAAAATTCATTTTCCCATCTATCCTATTTGCCTAGTATTTTTTTCAAAAACCTGAACCAAACGTAATATTTTTCAATATCCACTTACACTTTTCCATCAATCCCAAAATAAATTTTCTACCAAACACTACCTTAAAAACTGTTACATAAATCTTTATCAAATATAATAAATGAGTGTAATGTAGCACTTTTTTCTCATATTTGTTTTCTCATTTTTATCAAATAATATTATGAATGTGTTTAAAATGTTTTTCTCGCAAAAAGCCAAAACACAGTAGCTTTGAAAAATGTCATAAAATTCCTAATAATGAAATTAAAAAATTAAATTTTTTTTTCAAAAACAAATTCAAAGTGAATGAGATTTTTGATAAATTTCATAAGCTCAAATGGCATATATATTCTTAGGGGAAGGATATTGTAATAACCAAGTTGTGTTACTATCATGTTACTACCAATCAATCTCACCGTTAGATCGATTATATTGATCCAACAGTTATATTTATTTTCATCTTTGTATGGTTATGATTTCTCATATTTAATGTTTTCACATTAAATATGAGAAATCATAACCATACAAAAGTGAAAATAATTATAAAGTATTAAATTTGGGAAATCATGACCATACAAAAATGAAAATAAATATAACCATTGGATCAACGTAATCAATCTAACGATGAGATGGATTGGTAGAAACATGGTAGTAACACAACTTGGTTGTTACAATATCCTTGCTCGTATTCTTAATATGTCAAAAAAATACTTTAACATTGACATAATTTAAGTTTCATTCATCATGTCATTAATTAACTCTAGTTTTCTAGCAGTCTCAAGTTACCTAAACATTGATGGACATTTTAACTGCAAATACTCTTAGGGTATTTTATTTTTTTTGTTTCTATTTTTATTTTCATTAAATATGTTTTTATTGACAATCATTAAAATATCATATTATTTTCATTATGTTTTGTGTTTTTAATATTTCATAAAGGAAATATAATTCAAAACTCAGCAAGATTGACACATCTGAATATCAGTAACCCATAAAAAACATTTAATAAAAAAAGAAAAACACAAGGAGAAAGTGTAGGCTAATTAACAAAGTAAAAGAAGAAAACTGATTATATGTTATTTTGTTCATGTAGGACTTTGCACAGCATCTATTGCACTTTTCACTGAGCTTGACATTATAATTGAGTTGATCAGCATTGGCACGCTCTTGGTGTTCTACATGGTAGCCAATGCTCTTATATACCGCAGATATGTAATCACTAACCATACCCCACCTTTGCACACTCTCTTTTTCCTGTTTCTCCTTTCTCTCAGTGCACTATGCTTCTCCATGGCATGGAAATTCAAGCAGCAATGGTGGGGTTTGCTACTATTTGGTGTGTTCATGATCACTATCACAGCCTTCTTCCAACACGTGGTGCCTATTAGCATTGCTCAAGATGGTCATTGGTATGTGCCATTCATGCCATGGCCAGCTGCCATGTCCATCTTTCTTAATGTTTTCCTCATGACCACACTCAAAATCCTCTCTTTCCAACGGTTTGCTATATGGGCATGCTTCATTACCATCTTCTATTTGCTCTATGGTGTTCACTCCACCTATCAAGCAGAGGAGATTGAGATGGTTGGTGTTAATGAAGTGAATTCAAGTGCAATCAGCTTACAAACTAAGGTAGAAATTCAAGTGCATTAGTTGAAGCAATTTCTGCTTCACTAGTTGGTAAAATCAAGAAAACATTATGTACATGGTGGGAAAGAGACAGAATGGATTTTCTAAAGGGATGTTGCACTGGTGAAATCGCTATACATCATATAAAGAGGCAAACTCTTCAAGCAACAATCATTCTTTAGTAGTGGGAAAAGATGATTCAGTGGGCGCAATATTGAGTCTTTTGAATAGTACTGATAACATAACACTTCTATGCTTTGTCATTTCGGTAGCACATCAAATTCAAAAGTAAGGTGGTGGGTCAAAAAAGAGTGAGAGTGGGTTTTTAACAATCTCTTCAATATCTTTGGAAGGGATGGGTTGAATAAAGGAGTAGGACTACCTGTAAAATCTTAGACGGGGACATAAAAGTGTATAGGAGGGTTGTGTTCCTCGTACCTTTCTCTTTTTTTCTTTTGTTGTTTTTCTCAGAATGAGAACATTACTATCATCACTATACCTTTAATTTTCTTCACCATATTCTCCAAAAATGCAAAGGCACAAGGATAAAACTGCGTAGAAGGATTTGTTCACCCCTACCATCGCAAGTTGAGATTTCACGGGGAGCTCCATGTATCTCAAGCTCTGAGATTAAAAATAAAGCCATCACATGCCAACGTGAAGAAGAGTGAAAAAGGAGGCAAGGAAACAATGAGAACACACATTTAAAATATAAGCAATTAAGTAATACTATAAATGTGAAATCACAATGGAACAATGAGCATGAGTAGAGAAATAGTAACTCAATCACCCGTTTTCAACCAACTGGAAAAGCCTTAATTAGATTATGCAGAATCCTATAATATGCCTCAGTATCCATACAAATGACTAGTCACATTAAGGATCAGGATAAAGTTGGACATTTAGCCCCTAGACTCTCGAATCTACACAGGAAGGAATGTTAAGTTCTGATCTGCCAAGCTCTTACATTACATCCATAATTGTAAGACCCGGTTGGTTGTAACACTTCCACTGAGGAGTGCCATGAAAAGTATGAATGAGAATTATAAATTTAACGCCTAGACTAAGGAGATTTAAGAAGGTTAAGGAATAGGATTATTCCACCTCTTTAAGACCACAAAGCTTGTACTTAGTTATGAAGGGTTAGTTATGCATATTGAGTTTGCAATTGCATGGCAGTAACTTTTGCATTCCTTTTCTCTGAATCCTTTCGCAAAATGAAACTCATTACATGAAGTAACATCAAACATTCATCTAAGATAGAGACAGAAAAAAAATATAACGTTATGTCCTCATGACGTGAAAGCAGAACAAATATACCTATAAAACTTCATACCAATAATGTAATCCACACTTTCATCAAAAGAATTGTTCCAAGCTGAATTTGCTTTGGTGATAAAACCTTGGCTGCTTTTCTTGATTCTTCGCAGCATCAAAGGAACAGGCTTTTCCAAAATGGCCACATTGAATTTGTTACAAACATTAGATACTGTGGGGAGTGCAGAAATTCTCTCAGCAATATGCATGTCCTCTGGAAGAACAGAACCAAAGACGGTATATTGTTTTTGCCACTCCCTATGGTTGGCAAGGCTTATAAAGAATTCTGGGCAGAATCAAACCAAGCAACTGAACCCCTTCTTATTGTTGGGCAATCTTCTATGGGAATTTTCTTGAATATGGTTCCTTGGGCTTCCAGTGTCCCTTGAATTAATGGAAAAGGTGGACCAAAAGCAACCTGAATATACGAGGATTCACTTACCATCATTGAACTTGTTGAATATCATAAATACAAGAGGAAATGATAGTAATCCTTGTTGTATTAAACTACACAACATTGGTGCTATTATATAGCAAACCAATTGACGAATACAAAGAGATACACTCAATGTGGGACTTCTACACTATTAACACTAACACTCTTAACACTCCCCCTCAAGTTGTAGCATATAGATCATATGCTACAAGCTTGATACATAAATAATACTCCCATTAGGAACCAAAAACAACAATGCTACATCAACGAAATGAAATGACCAAGTACAACAAATCAACTGGAATGACCATCAGTCTGAAGAGCTGATAAAGAGACAGTGCTGGAATGGACATCAGAGCATGAATGGTGCCGGAATTATCATCGGCAAAGACAACTGAGCTGACCAGGACATCAGCATCAAGATCCCTCTCAGACATTTCATTTAACAGTTGGTGAGCAGCCGTGGTTTCCCTTTGACTATGCTACAAGCTTATTACAAGAAAGACCAAGTAACATAACATCAAAATAAATCTCCTAAATGAGAAACCAAAAAACAACAATGTGCTAAAAATGGCATCGAAATGAACATCAACATGGAAGATGCCGGAATTATCATCGGCAAAGACAATTGTACTGGAATGACCATCAGCAACATGGACGGTGCTCCCCCTCAAGAGGAACTTCTAAACAGTGCCGGAATTATCATCGGCAAAGACAATTGTGCTGGAATGACCATCAGCAACATGGACAGTGCTCCCCCTTAAGAGGAACTTCTAAACAGTGCCGGAATTATCATCGGCAAAGACAATTGTGCTGGAATGACCATCAGCAACATGGACAGTGCTCCCCCTCAAGAGGAACTTTGGTATCAGCGGAGACAATATCAGCAACTTGGATAGTGCTCCCCCTCAAGATGGATGATGAATAGTATAAATACTCCATCTTGGAAGAAAGAAGATTAAAGAAAAACAAAGCTTCGCGGAATCGGAAAAGTCGCCGGAGACGGCGGTGGGTCGTCGGAGACGGTGGTGGGTCGTCGGAGACGGTGGTGGATCGCCGAAAAAGTCGCCGGAGACGGCTGTCAACGGTGGACGACGCGGTCAACGGTGGTCGATCAACGACAACGGTGGTCAACCCAACAACTTCCCAAGGATCATTCTTTTCTGATGTGACAGATCAGTTTAAGCTGCAGTCACAGAGCATACTAAGAAAAACCCGAAAAAAAAATAGCAACGGGAATCCCTCAAGGAGGGTGATATCTCTTTATAACCATATTGAAATTATGGAAAATAGAACTAAGTTAAACGGATTAAGATTCCTCTTGTTAGGCTCTGATACCATGTTGAATATCATAAATACAAGAGGAAATGATAGTAATCCTTGTTGTATTAAACTACACAACATTGGTGCTATTATATAGCAAACCAATTGAAGAATACAAAGAGATACACTCAATGTGGGACTTCTACACTATTAACACTAACACTCTTAACAGAACTCTAAAAACATCAACTGGCTTGCGTTGAGGATGTGGAAATGCAAATAATTTTTTTTTTCTTGGGGAAATAATATGCAAATGACATCAATAGAAATCCAATAAAGTCTCTTAACATCTAATATATATTTCTGTTTGGACAAATAATAATGATGATGATAATACTAATAAAATCTTAAAATAATAAGTAAAAGTGTATAGTGATTTCTAAACTTTACAACATGAAGTACAGTCCTCAATTTTCACCTACTCCATTTGGGATAACGAAAGGGAAATATAGTTGAGGGGAAGAAATAAAATTTTAAAAAGGAGTTGCTAATGTAGTGAAACTATATGAAACGGAAATTATCTGTCACATTAACAGATTGACAGCAACACCACATCAAGATAAATGCCAAATTGAATATCAATATATAGTATAACTTCAAAGAGACCACCTAAGGTGTCAAATCTCCCGACCAAGCAAACAAATTCCTCACTCATGACTAAGCAATTTGAAATACAACCAAAGTGCTAGGGACTCAAAATGAAGGCAGAAACAAGACTCACTTAAGATATATCAAGTATTAACATCAAAATAAAAAGTTGTTTTAAAGCAGTATTTTATCAAATTAACAACATAAGTGCTTCACAAAACCAACAGCACCCAGTTTCCTAGTCAATGAATCCTTTGTATAATTATAAAATATATTGACAAAGGAGATCACTGCAAATATCATGGAAGCTCAAACCCAGAAGCAGATTGCATCCTGACCAGCCCATAATCTAGTTGTCTTCTTAAGAACTCTTTCTTTAATTAAAGTGCTGCCATGTGCATCTTCAAATATTCCAATACCTATAACCTCCAACATACCTAACATAACATTGGTACAACATCAAAGCATCAGGATTTTAAAGCTCCTAAGAGCTTGAACACTTACTTTTACATGAAGAGTTCTATATTCAGCCTCCAGCTCAATAATTCCCTGCAAAAAGATAAATTACATGTATTGAAAAATAAGATAACTCATCACAAGTTGATAAAATTCCAACAATGTAGTTCACAGCAGTAGTTTGATCTAGATATTTTGCCTTAAATTTATAAATAAATACTATGCACCCGCAAAGGATTTTAAAAACACCAAACTTCTCTTACCTCTCCTTTCCCAAAGATGAGACCAGAAGTCCAACCAACAGCTTCCCCTCCAGGCCCTGCTTCTTGCCGTTCAGGGGCTAAGCTGTCTTTTTGTTTCTTCAACCAGCACTGAAATAATTAATGCCGTGACTTCTAAGTTCACGGTATCAATAGTAAAATTCACTCCCCATTAAACCCCAATTAGTGAGGATAGGGATAAGAGAAATCTTTGTACGCAGTATTACTTTTATATATTTGCAAAGAGACTATTTTTCAGATTCGAATCTATGACCTTTCAGTCACAAAGGAACAACTTTACCCCTGCTCTAGACTCGCCATCTTAAAAAAGTTTAAATTACATCTTCAAAAAGAAAATCTGGAACAATAGCCCTGGGCTAAATGAACTCTTTCCTACATATATTCACTCCAAGAGAATTTGCACAAAACCATAACAGAAATCAACTCAGTACAGAATGGTTCCTACCCATTTAATTTACCATAGCCACTGAGATACTGACTGTTCCACCTGACACTCATATCTCAAAACTGTGCCACATACACTTTGCTAATGAAAGCCAAATAAAAAAGCAAGCTTTTCCAGCTCACTTGATCAGGTACATTTATAGACTCTATTTTTCCATCATACAACTTAGCACTTACTACTCACAATCAACAATATTCTATAGCCACATTAATTGTTTGTCTGAATTTGCATACTCTGACACGCACTACCAGGGCAGTAGCAATTTGCTTAGATAACCATGCAGCAAAACATTTAGACTTATTGAGAAATTTGACGACAAAATAGAAGTTGGAATAGCAAAAAGAAGATACAACAAAAGAAGAAGAAGCTTAATGCATGAAGATAAAGGCTTCAAGAGTTACAAGCCACAAAAAATACAAGAATCATCCATAAAAATAGACCGAGTAGCCAAATGTTAAACCCTCAGATCTTCAAACTGTGCAAAGTGAAGGAACACAAGTTAGAGGCATGAATGAAGAGTTAGTAACTTACCTCACCGAATTTAGATCCACAATTCTAACGGTTCCCACAAAACACCCCACATATCGCACAAATACTTGACAACCTAAGGAAACAAAAAAATGAATATTGGAATAATCTTGAAGTTTCATGAATTACATTATGAGTATAAAATGTTTTTATTAAGGGAAAATATACTCTTGTGTTGTAGGAAATTATCTTTTTCTCACACATGACTAACTCTACAACATAAGAGAGCTTCTCTTCACTTTCCATGAGATTAATAAAGCATTTTTATTAATTTAATAGTATTACCTACATGCACCAACATTTTTTTATCCCCGACTTTAGAAATTCTCAATCATCACCTTTCATTTATTCGTAATTTTATGTCTCTTCCTATTATTCACCAATATCAAATGGTGCACATTACAATGTGAGGTTTGTGCAAAGGGAAAGAGCAAGACTCTGAACCGGAGAAGAAATTCAGAGCTCCAAGCCACCATAGAGGTCGGAAGCTTAGACTTGAAAAACTGGCTGTATCTCCTTTCCATTTTCCTTCATTTCTATTCCTTCTTGGTTTTGAATTTTTGTTTTCCTTCATTACAATGTGGATATGTGTTGTGTTCCACAGTTCTATGTAAATTTTCTTAATGCATGTCAGTATGTCACTATCTGGAACACTCTAAACGTTGAACCTGTTGGGCAGAGTGTTCTTTGTTTTAAATGTTAAGAATATAAAGACGAAATCATAAACGTAGGATCTGTGGCGCAATGGTAGCGCGTCTGACTCCAGATCAGAAGGTTGCGTGTTCGATTCACGTCAGGTTCAAATTTTTTACTTTTTAGTTAATTATAAAATAATAGTTATGTCTCCTTTCACATATGCCATAAAGTGTGTTTTAAAACTGCGAAGTCCTTAAAAATCAACACCTCCTTCTCTAGTCTTTTATTGTCTTGTTAGGGATCAAACCAAATCTCATTACATAAAAAATGTTATTACGCCAAACTGGGTTTTACTGTATGTTTAGTTTATGCATTACGCACCATGTGCGTATAAAAAAAAAAAACATCGGATTATGGAGGTCCATAACTATTTTTTCTAAGAGAAGGGTGAGGAAAGGTTGAATACACCAGTCTATATATTCATTTAAGCCTCTGACGCACTAAGGTTTGAGATGTCATTGTATCTGCTTGTATGCCCTGCATAGAGTTTTGAGGTCACTCCATTTTGATAAGGAAATTTATTTTTATTCCTAATGAACCACTTTCTTTGCAGAAGGATTAGTACTCGCATAATATTGATTTCATGGTAAATGCTCTGTAAAGAAGAATAAGAAGAAAGATAATTTACTCTTATATATATATATATATATATATATATATATATATATATATATATAGAGAGAGAGAGAGAGAGAGAGAGAGATAGGATCCTTTGACACCAGTGTCAAATTTGAAGTTTGACACCTCATCTGAGAGCCATTAGATCAAAAAAGATCAACATTGATCTTTTTTGATTTAACGGCTCTCAGATGAGATGTCAAACTTCAAATTTGACACCGGTGTCAAAAGATCCTGCCTCATATATATATCAACATCAACATCAACAACACATTTATCCCAAATTAATTGGGGTCGGTGGTAGATGAACCCACATGAAAGATACAAAACGGTTGAAAAAAAGTAAAAAAAATAAAAAATACAAAATAAATAAATAAATAAATAAATAAAAATACACAAATAAAATAATAAAATAAAATAAAATGAAATAAAAATATATGTATATATAAATAAATAAAAGTAAAAAAGAAAGGGACAAGAAGAAGTGGGGGAAATGAAGGGGAAAAGGACTAAAAAAGGACCATCTGGAACATAGGAATAACAGCGAGTCTAACCCTCCACCATACTTATAGTTTTTCTCCATTCCTTTCTAAGACATACTGTCCGCCAATCTATATCCACTCCATTAAATCTTGTTTTACTACTTTCCCCCAAGTAAGCTTCGGCCTACCTCTGCCTCTTTTTGTGTTTAGCTCTTGGTAACAAACTTCTGTTCTTACAGGAGCATCCATGGGTCTTCTCATCACGTGCCCAAACCACCTCAATCTATGTTCTCTCATCTTCTCATCACCTTTTTCTTCTCCAGGACCCACCATAAAACTTTCCTTGGAACCCTATCGTATGCTTTCTCAAGGTCTATGAACACCATATGCAAGTCCTTCTTCTTTTCTCGGTATCTTTCCATTAGTTGTCGCATCAAGAAAATGGCTTCCATGGTACATCTTCCTGGCATAAATCCAAATTGATTTACAGAAACCTTGGTATCTCTCCTCAAGCGATGTTCAATAACCCTCTCCCACAGCTTCATAGTATGACTCATTAGCTTAATGCCTCAATAGTTTGAACAATTCTGTATATCTCCCTTGTTTTTGTAGATAGGCACAATCATACTTTTCCTCCATACATCAGGCATCTTATTCGTCTGGAGAATCTTATTAAAAAGATTGGTCAACCATTTTATTGCCACATCCCCCAGGCCTCTCCACACTTCAATAGGGACACCATCAGGCCCCAAGGCTTTATTAGTCTTCATCCTCTTTAAAGCCTCCTTAACTTCATGTGTATTAATTCTGCGTACAAATCTTCTATTCATATCATCATACGCGTCCTCTAAGTCCACCTCGCTTGTATTTCCATCCCCATTAAACAGCTTGTTGAAGTATTTCAACCATCTTTCATTTACATCTTCATCTCTCACCAGAAGTTTTTGATTTTCATCCTTGATGCATCTAACTTGAGTGAGGTCTTTACTTTTCTTATCCCTTATCCTTGCAAGTTTATAAATACCTCTTTCACCATCCTTGCTCCCAAGACTTTTATACAACTCGTCGAAAACCTTGCCTCTCGCTTCTCGCACTGCTTTCTTTGCATTTTTTCTCGCCAATCTAAACTTTTGCAGGTTCTCTTCATTGGGACTTATATGCAAAGATCTAAAGCACTCCTTCTTATGTTTAATTGCCTCTTGCACCTCTCCATTCCACCACCATGTTTCCTTTGTATGAAATCCATTTCCTTTGCTTTCTCCCAACACCCTCCTTCCCAAATTTTGAATACACTTAGCCATCTCATTCCATATTGCATTTACTCCTCCATCAAACTCCCAAGGTCCTTCGTGCAACATTCTATCATTGAACTCTCTCTTTTCCCTCCTTAAGCTTCCACCACCTTATCCTTGGATTCTGAGCCCTCTTCTTCATTGTACGTACTTTGTTGAACCGAACATCCAAGACTACCAGCTTATGTTGCGTAGCAACACACTCTCCAGGGTAGACCTTACATTCGACACAAGAAGTTCTATCTTCTCTTCTAGCCAGAAAGAAATCAATCTGACTACGATTATGGCCACTATGATAAGTGATCAGGTGTGACTCCCTTTTTTGAAAAAAGGTGTTCACTAACATCAAATCGTAGGCTAGTGCAACATTCAAGATATCTTCTCCAGTCTCGTTTCTCGTCCCATAGCCAAAACCTCCATGGATTCTATCAAGACCTCCATTGCTTTTACCAACATGACCATTTAGATCTCCTCCTACGAAAATCTTCTCCTCTCGAGGTATTCCCCTCAAAACCTCCTCCAAGTCTTCCCAAAATTGGCTTTTATCAGTTGGTTGCAATCCAATTTGGGGTGCATACACACTGAGGATATTCAGGATTAAGTCACCCACAACAAGCTTAACCAGAATAATCCTGTCGCCTTTCCTTTTGACGTCCACAACTTTATCTCTGAAACTTTTGTCGATCATAATTCCAACACCATTTCGACTCTTGTTCGTACCTGTGTACCATAACTTGAAACCAGTTCCATCCACTTCCTTGGCCTTTTCTCCAGCCCACTTAGTTTCTTGCAAACAAACAATATTCACTTTCCTTCTAGCAAAAACATCTGCCAACTCCCTCAATTTACCCGTTAAGGTTCCTATGTTCCAGCTTCCCAATCTCATCCTTAACCCCTGGGCTGTGCTTGCCCGCCACGTTCGCCCATCTGCGTGTTGGGACCCTGGCATACTTCTCACCAAATCCGGGTGAAGACCTGGCGCCTTGCCTTGGGGCAAGGACCCTAGCCCACTTTTCACTACACCTCGGGCCCGATGCAGCGCCTTGCCTTGTGGCAAGGACCCTAGCCCATTTTTCGCTACACCCGGGGCCCGGTGCAACGCGTCGCTATGAAGGGTACGCCCCAACGAAAAATCATATAGGTTCATCACATAAAAATATAGCTGTTTTTTACGGCCGGTTCGCAACACCTGACGCCAACCCTCCTCCTTTATCCTGGCTTGGGACAGGCCATGCATGCAAGCACACATGGGCAGAGTTCTGCCTCATATATATATATATATATATAAAGTTTGATACCTCATATGAGAGCCGTTAGATCAAAAAAGATCAATGGTGTCACATGCTTACAAATTAGAGTCATTGATCACCGTTGATCTTTTTTGATCTAACAGCTCTCAGATGAGATGTCAAATTTTAAATTTGACACCGGTGTCAAAGGATCTTACCTGATATATATATATATATATATATATATATATATATATATATATATATATATATATATATATCTTTTTTTCCCATATAAAGTAAGTACATACTTATGTACTAAAAAAAAGAGTAAGTACATACTTGGCATATGAGAGTAAATAAAGTGTAGCAATAATACTGTCATTGTACCAATTCATGTATCAAAATATAACTTTTTTGTTAGAAAAAAGTTATGTGAAAATATCAAATACCATTTTCATAACACCAAAGTTTTTGGTCTGATCATAAACTACGCACAAAACCATTTTGCCCTTGTGATTTACTTAAAAAAAATAAAAAATTCAAGCCTTTTATTTATATTATTCACTCAAATAAACACAAAACCCTATTTCAAACCTAGGTGTAAAATGTATCTGTAGAACATGAGTGCTGCACAGTATGATAAATGTTGATAATGCAGATTATGTCTTATAAACAATCTAGATATCCACCAATTAAGGCCTCGATCACACATGTTCATAGTCACCACTAACATCAATTTCCTCATCATCCACAACTTCCAATGAACCAGTGCCAGCTTGCCCACCATCACCAGCTTTGGATCCTTGTCCTGGTATGCTTGCCTCTTTTATGATGCTCATGATTTCTTCAACACTCTGGATTGGTTGGTCTTTCTTTGTTTCCTCAAAACCTTTTCTTTCAGCTTCAATGATCTCTTTAGGCAAATTCTTCAAAAACCAAGGGTTCTGTTTTATCTCTGGGATGGTGATCCTCTTTAAAAAAGATCAGAAATAATTAGTTTGAAAAATGGGGAGATTCTTATTATACGAGAGCTAAATAAATACACTAGAGCTGCTATGAAACAAATCCATATTATTTCCATTTGAAGTGAAGCCCATTACGATGAACATTTTGTAATTTTAGTATTGTATAACTATAGTACTTGTATTCTTTTATAGAATTAATGATACATACCTTGGCAGGATTGGCAACAAAGATACGAGAGAGAAGATTCCTACACTCAGTAGAAACACGTACATAGTCCGGTATGGAGTACTGAACACCTATTATTCTCTACCAAACAGAGAATCAGAGTTTAAGTCTCTTGCTGTCTAAAATTAATCATAATGGAACTTCGAAGTTAAATAAGAGCTCACCCCAATAGTCTTTTTGAAATTTCTAGGATCTTCTGGGTCTTCAAATGGATATGCACCAACTAACATGACATAAAGAGTCACACCACAGGACCAAACATCTGCAATCTACATAAGAGCCAAATTGCTAACAAAATTGAGCATTTTGGACTATATGATGAACCGTTTAAGGGATGTGAGAATGAGTGTCAATTGTCAAACTATGGCTGCCTATTGCCATATATAGAATGTGGCTTGACATGGTTTTAAGGCCTTCAAGAAAATGACAGAGAAACTCTCATTACCTTTCCGTCATACTCCTTTCGTGACAGAACCTCTGGAGCAATGTATGCAGGAGTTCCAACAGTTGATTTAGGTTGAGAGTGCAGTAAAGCAGACTGCAATTGAATATCAAGGAAAGTCAGCAAAAATCATAATGAACATATGAAAGCACAGGATATAATATAAGGTATATGATATATCTCCAAAAAAGGATCATCTTGGTGAAATGCTATTAACCTTGGAGTAACCGAAGTCACAAATTTTAAGCCGAGGAGATGGATTACCATCCAAGAGAGTGTTTTCCAATTTCAGATCTCTGTGACAAATTTCCTGCAGTAGGAAGCATAACATGATGTAAAACACGAGTTTGTAGCAAAGAACACAATGAATTATGCATACATACCATTGAATGACAGTAGCTAACCCCAGATATAAGCTGTTGGAAGAAATATCTTGCCTGTAAAATAGGGAATTTATTCATTCACTTGGAAAATTTCAATATGAATACCTTATTCATGTAAACAGATTATTTAAAAGGAAAATGAACAGTTAAACCACATAAATTCTACGACCTCATCTTCACTAAATCGACCAGCGGTGCATATCCTCTCAAAGAGTTCACCACCTGAAGCATACTCCAAGACAATAGCTAAATGAGTAGGGGTCAGGAAGACCTGCAGAAAACACATCTCATTCAACATTTTGTTGTGTATATAACTTCTGAAAGCTCTGAATAGAACAAATCATGATAGTGCTTGACTAATTGAAATAAATTTTGATCTTAGCCCATGCCAAAGGACAGGGAAACACATCACAACATTAAATGCAGGGAATTATACTAATTGAGCATTTTTGTTTCTTTCTGAAGGTACAAGTCTCTGTTAATGGGATAAGACTTGGTTGTTAACTACTTGTTAGTTTCTGTTGAAGGTACTGGTCCATGTGATTTCCGCAGATATTTTCAAATTAATGATCTTGTCTTGTAAGAATAATGGCAGAAAATATGATAGTATGCAACATAAATTCTAGCATATTATATAAACAGTAATTGTCTTGATGCAAATGATTATGACCTCTTTCTTTTTTTTGGAGAGTATCCCCGGTAATCATATAGGTTCCCTATGGATTAATCCGGAGTTCGAAACTTTCCAAGATTAAAACTTTAAACCCCTCTCAAAGATGGTACGAGAGAGAATCGATATGACCTCTTTCTTTTAGTAATAATGCAACACACCATATAACTTTTGCACATTATGTCAGCGATAATAACTCATTGCAAAGGGAATTATGAATTACCCCTGGATTTCTTTGAGTCAGTCACATTAATTATGAACAAGTCAAATTTCCTTCTGAGACAAGTTTTAAGAAGTGTGTAAAATGAGAGCTGCGTGCACAAAAATAATGCAGATAACCATATATTAAATTCAAAATGTCCAATTCATCTTCAAATCTATGGAAGGAGCAGTGTAAGGAAGAAAAGCAAACTCTTACCTCTTTGAACCTGATAATATTTGGATGCCTTAAAGATCGATGGTTAATTATCTCCCTCTGAACATTCTCATCAATCTGATGCCACAAATATAACTCACACAGAAGAAACACAGATCAAAAAGAATTTGGACGAAATTATTTGGAAAAAAAATAAAAAAATCTATGGTTCCCCTAATATCCATAATGCAGAGTTTAAGCCAATTAAGCTTGATAATACCCTTCTCCATAATGATGAGTATGGTACATAAGCTACTAAGCTTGATAGAGAGAGCAACAAAAATAAATTCTGAGTATTTTATGAATATCACAAAAATGAAATTCAACCACAACGTATGTGTACCAACAGTATGAACTTGTAAAGGGTTTCAGCTTAATCAACTATTTGGAGTTCGAGTTCTAGGTAATGTGTTAAAACTTGATAGGGATAATAATCATGCCCGGCTCGAATCAGATTAGTAGAATAATTGATGAACCCGTAGAGAAATTCAAAAAAAGAAGAAGAATGAAATTCATCACACGTCAGCTCTAGGTACAAAATGAATGTTGTCAGGATTTGCAAGGACGGTCAAATTTCGACAAGATTGGGAAAAGACATAATGAGGAACTGTAACACTTACTTTTTTTTTTTCAAAAAAAGAAAAGAAAAGAAGAAACAAATGGTTGCTCTAGCACAATGATACTAGAATTTTCTCTTATAAAACTAGGACCATACTTTGAGATGACACTGAAGATTTTAATGGATACTACCAATTAAGGGAATAACATTCTGAGAGTTGACTAGTCGAGAAAACAATACAAGGAAGAAAAACAACTCCTCTGGTAAACTGTTTCTATAGTCCAATCATTGATTTTTTTTACCTTGAATTCATATTGATATAATAAATATGCAGCTGAAGATGATGCAAGATTGTTCAAGAATGAACCAAACAAGAATAGCATTAGTCACTAGTCAATAACTGGGGAAATGGTTTTACCTTTTTACCCCTCTCTATGTATTTAACAGCAACAAGCTCTGCAGTCTTCTTGTCTTTGGCCAACCTAGCCACTCCAAAATTCCCAGAACCAAGGTCCTTCAATGGCTCATACCGTTCCTCCATGTCAACCCTCCCAAAACCACCTCAAACCTCAACAGCAATGGAGTTTAACAGAGAGAGGACCTAAGTAAGTAAACAATCGAATTAAACTTAGAACAATAACATTTTATAAATAAATAAAATACAAGGGGCCTATTTAATTTAAGATAAAAGTGTGTGTCATTTCAAAGGAGGTAAAATTGTGTTATTTTAAGAGAGAGAAAAAGATAGATAAAGGAAAAGAGAGAGAGTTGAAAAAAAAAATTAAGGTGTGGATCTTACCTCTTTCTGAAAGTGAAGGGATATAAGTTATGTCATTTAAAAAAATAAATATTTTTCACTAAATTTAATATAAAGAAGCATACGCAAGCCAATGAAAAGTTCAAAGATCTATATATAATCATAACCGAATCAAAAGAGACCCATAGGACAAGCAAAAGAGAGAGTCATAAACCAAAAAATAAAATAAAACTCGGAGAAATCAACTGAGAAAGAGAACTTTATGTGTATTGAGCCGTTCTAGTTCATTAGAAAAAAACTGTTAAATCCAAATGAAATTTCCAAACTCCTTTACTAGGGGTGATATGGAACTCGCCCCCTTAATAAGAAATTTCGAGTTCGAATCATATAAATAGACAAAAAAATTAGAAAAGCCATTTTCGAAAGGGTCAATTATATTCAATGGGGATTAATCTTCGTTATTATAGGAGGATATTTTTGAGATTATTCAAAAAAAAAAATCCAAATAAAATTTATAATTAACAAGAGATACGGTATTGTTATTATCAATTCTTATTTACTATTAATATTGAGTTTCACTGTTAGATCGATTATGTTGATTCAACGATTATATTAACTTTCTAAAAATCTTCTTTCTTTTCTATATATTTAATACTATATATTTAATATTTTCATATTAATTAGAGAATCATAACTATATAAAGATGAAAATAAATATAATCGTTGGATCAACATAATCGATCTAACTATAAAATAAACTGATAATGACATTAATAATAATACTAATTAATAATAATAATATCTTATCTCAATTAATAAATGATGTAAGAATTTTTAGGTTTACACGTAAATATGTGAGTAATAAAAAAGACAGACAGTGACTGTGACGTTACACTATATAAAAACAAAAAAAAGACAGATCATTCCTACATGATGCGTGCGCCGGGTGAAGGTGTGGGACACCATATGATAGGTTGCATGGAGCTGTCCACTTAATAGCGTCGACAATTTAGAATTCATTTCCTCCCCCTCTCTCTCTCTCCCTATAAATATTTAAAAAAAATCTATAATCTTTTAAAAATCATCAGTTAAATAATAAAAATTGGTAAAGGGTATATATTGAATAATTAAAAATTTAATTTTTGTGATTCTGAATTTGTTACTATTCTAATTTTTATAAGTATGTAATTTTTATTATTTGGTTTATTATTTTAAAAAAGGAATTATTCTGTAGACCTGTTGGGTCCCACTCAATGATATATACGATTACACTATGTTATCCGAGTGGGATGAGATGGCCCACATGTTCCGTCCTTTGCTGCGGTATGTAATTTTTTAAGGGTTTATTATTTGTGCTGTTACATGAAATAAATATATTTTTATTAATTTTAAAATTATGTGATTTTGAAGGTGAAAAAATTAATAAAAAATATTTTTATAAAATTTATATAACAAAAAATAATAAAAAATTTAAAATACTCTTCATTAATTCTCTCCATTCCTAAAATAATATAATTTTTAATGGATTAAATATAATTTCTCCTTTCTTTCTTTGATGTTCTAATTTTTTTTTCTATACTCGTAAAGTAATTATAAAAATTACTTGTATTTTGTACGGCACAGTACTATTCTTTTATCGTTTAGTAGAAAAAACAAAGAAAATATTACTGTGTTCTAAACTCGAAGCTTGTTATAAAGTTGATTAAGAATTTATAATAATACTCATAATAATAAACACGTACTGCCGACAAAAATAAAGCGTTAACCAACTAATTTGTTTCTTATTAGTAGTAAACCAACTTCTATCGACTAATATTATATTTGATTAGGTGATAATGAAAATATATTATTATGTTAACCGGGACTAACTAGTTAATGAGAATCTTATAAAAGGGGACGAAGATAAGGTCTCGAGGAAAGCTAGGGTTCCCGAAATCTTTGCAATTTTTTTTTTCATTTTACATGCATTTCTTTTTGATAAAAAAATTCTTCAACTTGGCCATATAAATGATGCTGGTCTTTCTGGTTGGTCGAAGGTAAAATCTATGTCCTTAAACAAAAAGCATTTTAGTTTTTAAAGATAGAAGCAATTTGCTTGTAATTTTTAGATTCAGTTTCATTTATTTTTAATGCTCAATTTGTATTGTAAATATTCAATAATATATGTAACATGCGATAATCTTATATTTTTACGGTAACTTTTATTCTCCTTAAACTTTTTTTTTTTTACCACATAAAAGTTCATATTAGAGGGACGTATGCCTCATGCAAGAGGTAAGAAAAAATTAACAATGAGAGCTTAAAGTAAAAAAAAATATGTTTCTCATATTGTATGAGATAAAATTATTTCATGCACATACAAAAAAAAAAGTAAATGTGACTCACTTTTTTTTCTCTCTTTTCTTCTTTGTGGGTTTCATTCACTTTTTGTATGTTAAATAAGATAATTTTATTTATAAAATTATGTAATGTCTACCAAAAAAGTGTGAAATTTAAACCCAAATCATAACTAACTTGAGCAAAAGGTTCGATGAGGTGTACCAATCCTCAATTCATTAAATATTTTCCTTGACCTTTTACTCAGACGTGTACATATATATATGCTTGTATAATGTATAAAATGGATCTTGAGATTCATATTTTTCGTAAGAGTTGTTTTCAAACTTATACAGCAAGTTGTTAACATATTTATGTGTAGATAAATTTATGGATTCGTTTTTTCTGCATTTAATGTAAATAAATTATTTATATTGAGCTCAAAACAAAGTTATTTTGGGACAGAAATTAAGGTACTTTTGTCATTATAATTTAGTTCAGGTTTATAATAGTCTTTCTTATTATAATTTTTTAATCTTTCAACCCAAAATGACATTTACATTCACTGTAGAAACATTAAAGCCTAAATTTATAATATATAACGGAGCAGTTATAATAATAATTATACCAAAAGGGGTTGATTAAAGTGATACATGCTTGTAAGGGTGTTAACGGGCCGAGCCGAGCCGAGCTTTGTTCTTAAAAGGTTAAGTCTGTGTTTAAATGTGTCATCCTGACCAAGCATGTTACATGTTATAAATATAATTATCGGCATGTGGCCTGACTTATTTACAAAAAATAATAGTCTGGTTTAGCTTGTTAACCTGTTTTTTTTTTTTTTTAAAAGACAACAAAAATTTATCCAAACAGAATATACAATCAACAACACTAGTTATTCCATAAATATTCATAAATTCAATGTATATCTAAACAGCATAACATAGAACAAAATCATTCAAAAAGTCTGTTTAACCAATAAATTGGAGTGAAATGGATTAAGGAGAAAGAGAGGGCTATTACAAGTAGTATAAAAAATAAAAAATAATAATATACTAGGTCAGCCTGAGAGGCTTTAAGGCCGAGCTTTTGAATTTGAGCCTGAGGCCTTTTTATTAAACGAGCTTTTATACAAGTTCAAGCCAGGTGCCAAATTCTAATTTTAGACACGTAAGCTCAGGCTTTCACGAGCCGAGCCAAAGGCCCCTGAAAGGCCCTAGTTCATTTAGCACCCCTACATGCTTGATTCCGCTTAAGTAATATCTTAAGTTCAGGTCCTTATGAATGCAAAAAATCTCTTTTGGGAGAGCTAGCTCCACTGTCCCACCATGACGTAAATATTTTCAGTTCGAACAGGATTGCCTCGTATGAAGAATACCTATGATTTATTCAAAAATAATAATAATTATTATTATTAGGAAAAAATATTTGTCCTGATTGTTATTTTAGTTAAAATTAATATTCTTTATTTAAAATTTAAATTAAAAAAAAACCATTTACTTTCTCTCCATAATTTTTATTGTTTATCTCTTTATCTTAGTTAAAGGGACACAATTCTATTCTTCGGATAATTTTATTTCTTTCTCTTTACGTCCTTTTATTATTATTAAACTATTGCACTTGCACGAAGAGAAGCCTAAATTCATGGGATCTCGCTGGCCTTTGCTCTCCAATTTTACATCTTCGTCATTTGGTTGGTATTGAAGATACATAAAACGGCTATTTGACCAATTTTGGGGGGGGGGGGGGGGGGGGGGTTTCGATTTTAATTTATCAATTTTGTATTTGGTTTAACATATTTACAAACGAGGGTCATTTAGTGACGCGAGGCGACCAGCGTCACTGAGTGCTTCTATCATCCCTTCGTCACTCACACTTTTGCCGCCTCCCCTACCCTGGGACACTCACTGAATTGTGTCAAGTGGCACAATCTGGTTACTCTTATTACCGTAAAATTTCGTATTTGGTTTAACATATTTACAAACGAGGGTCATTTAGTGACGCGAGGCGACCAGCGTCACTGAGTGCTTCTATCATCCCCTCGTCACTCACACTTTTGCCGCCTCCCCTACCCTGGGGCACTCACTGAATTGTGTCAAGTGGCACAATCTGGTTACTCTTATTACCGTAAAATTTCGAAAAGTCATAACTTTTGACTCGGGTATCCAAATTAGATGATTCTTTTTTGATTTCACATAACTTTTCGAGATCTACGCAACGGCATCTCATTTGACATATTTTATCTCTCACAAACATAATTCAAATATGTAAAAAAGTGTAATTAGTGTTGCAAATTTGAACTATATTAATAGAAGATAAAATATATCAAATGAGGTGTCATTGCGTAGATCTCGAAAAGTTATGTGAAATAAAAAAAAATCATCTGATTTGAATAACCGAATCACAAGTTATGGCTTTCTGAAGGAGTAATTAGATTGTGCCACTTGGCATAATTATATAAGTGCCCTAAGGGAGGGGGCGACACTCAATAGAAAAAAAATTAAGAAGGTGTGAGTGACGCGAGGGATAGTAGCGGCACTCAATGACGCTGAGTGCCCCTCACATCACTATATGACCACATTCATAAATACCTTAAACCAAATATCAAATTGATAAATTAAAGGAATAAAAAGGTGATGGGTGAAAGAGCCTACATAAAACGGTAACTATCAAATAAAGCCAGAAAGGAAACCTCCAAAGACACCGTCGTTTTAACAGGGAAAGGTTGAAAGCTACACTGATTTAATTGATGCGGACCGTGCGATAGAATGTTACTAACTTACGGGACTTCATAAGCTAACAATCTAGATCCTTATTCTCTTCTTTTGCCACGTTATCTTTCGTAGTCATCTTTGCTAAAGCTGTATTCTTTTGACCCACTACAAAAGTGAGGAAAAAAAATTAAATATGACTTATTTTCCTAATCAAAATTAGAGAGATTTATTAATATCAACCCCGAATAAACTTGAACAT